ATATATATATATATATTTTATTTTATTTTTTTAGACTATATTTATATTATATTTATTTATTTTACATTTTTTATATTTATTAAAATTTACAATATTAGGTAGCCTACTATGTTAAGTGTGCAATCTGACACAATGACACAAATCAGAACAATAAAGCTGTTTTATTTTGGTCTCTTCAAGACAAGATCTAAAACAGATCTGAAAAGGAAGGGATTAAGCTAGTGGTGGGCAAACTTTGTAGACCCGAGGGTCACATCAAATTTTGCAAACTAAGTGAATGGCCATATGTCAAATTCTTTAATAAATATTAAGTCAAATTTACAAGTCAAATTAATTTGCAGTGCTATTTATGTTTACTTAATAATCATCATAAAACAATAAAATATTCCCTTATAATAATAATAATAATAATGTAATAATTTTTACAGTGGAAAATATAAAAGATTGTCTGATAGAAAAAATCTAATTTTAACATATTAAAAATAATTAAATATTACTATTCAGTCAGATTTTTCAATAATCTAATTTGCACTGCTTTTAGAATATACAGATCAATCATCATAGAACTTGATAAAACCACAAATCTTTGAAAAAAGAACTTTTAAAGGGTGGATGTGTGCATGCAAAATATATTCTCTGACAAAAATTAACAGATTTAACCAGCAATTATTATATAATTTAAGGTCAAATTTCCAACAATCTCAATTGAGCTTTTATAAATGATCATATCAATCATAAAACTATGAAATAAAACAGAAGAAGAATCTTAGTCTTTGTCATTCCAAGTCATGTTATTATGAGTGTCTTAATGTAAACAATTGAGTTGAGTTGTCCTCCTTTACATGCAGCCAGTTGCTAAAACAGTGCAGACTACACACACACACACACAGAAAGAGAGAGACGCGCGCGCTGGACAAGGCAGCAGGAGTGACTCCCTTCAGATTCAACACGCATGATCGCGTTTATCAAATTTGCTTAAACAAATCAAGGATTCTGACACAACAATGCGAAGCATACGCTTGAGTTTAAGGGAAAACGCGTCAAACTTAATAAAACATTGGAGGGCACATGGTGAAAGACAGAAGAATGCGCTGTCTGACAGCTCGCGACTTCATCCGGCATGGACACCAATACTCCGATTTTAATATGATTAAGATAATTAAGTCTACCATGTAAGCAGCGATCCACGAAAGAACCAGCGAGTCACGAAATGCGGAGTTTTTTTTCCGTTCGCCATGCGGTATCAAATTCCATTAAAACAGAAGTTGAAAGTTAAAAATGAAACACCCGAAATTGCATGAAACTCTGGAGAGCCTGGTGATGCCACATTAATTGTTTTATACTGAAGCTTGCCTTCAAAAAATGCTTCCTTATGCTGCGTTTACACTAGACGCGGAACCCGCGGATAAATCGCGATATTCGCATGTAAATAGCCGCGTGAACATTTGAGGTTACACGCTTCATTCGCGCGTCAAACCCCGCTTCATTCGCGCGTCAAATCCGCTTCATTCACGCGTCAAATCCGCTTCATTCGCATGTCAAATTCACTTCAGAACAGATGTGGATTCGCGTGATGGGCAGGGCTTCTGTCTGCCTGGTGACTCTAGCTTCGTAGCTAAATGGTTAACATGGATTTTATGAAGAAAATAACAGTGCTTATGTGCTTTATGAAGGCTGAAAAACAAGCGTCGATACGTTTAGGGCCGTGTCTGAGTCCACTTCATCTTTTCAGAGGTGCATCCAGCTCTGTGAGCTCATAAACCCCTACAGAATCTGAACCTGGATGACGGAGGCTTTCAGCGGTGCGTCTGACTGAGCCCAGCCCAGTTTGATGAACTTTTTGCCGGTGTCGGCTGGAGGATTTCCCCTGGGACACCGACAACAGGCGATACATCACAATAGCGCCCCCACAAAAGCAAGCTCCTGATTGGTTAACGCTGCGTGAATGTCCGCTGAAGTTCAGATTTTCGAACTCGAGCGATTCATGCGAAACTTGCGTTAAGCGCATCAAATGCGCAAAACGCTCAATATGCGCGTATCGGGCCATTAGCACTGCGCCATTTGCGCAATTCACGTCATTGGCGCCGTGCCAATTGCGCATATCGCGCCGCAGGAAGTCTGTTCGCACGTTTGCATTGACTTAACATGTAAATCACTCTCGCTTGACGCGCTTTCCGCGTCTGGTGTGAACGCAGCATTAGTCTTATCCATGTTTCTTTGCACGTTAAACACACGCCGACCACAACAGGAAATAAAAAAGATTTAAATTCTAAGATTTAATTGTGAACTCACTTCAGTTTAATCCATTTCTCAAAGTACAAAACCTACGTTATCTACCTTTTCAAGTAAATGTGATAAGATTTAAGAATGCGGGACAGAAAATGCCGAGGAAAAACTAGAGTGCATTGTAATCAGGGTGAACAGTGGGTTAATTTTCCAATGTGTCTAGTGTTTTCATTTCAAAATGAAGCTTTTTCTAATTTAAGAATCATTATGCGCTCCATATTTCTGTTTCGAGAACTCATTGTCATATTGTGCTCGCTTCAAATGATTGCATGTTCTTTACTTTGCCCTAAAGTTTTAAATTGACACTTATGAAAGCTGCAAGACGGCACTCACATTGTTCTGTAGATATCAATACGGCAGTGAGCCTTCAAGGAGCTAATAATAATAATCGACTGTGACCAAGTGGACGTCCAGACCGAATGACTGAATATTGCAGTCTCGGGTGCACTACTTCAAGAAGAGAAGACGAGAGAGAGGTCGTAATGAAAGACGGCAGTTTCTGCCACAGTGTTGGAGCAGCTGTGTTTAAATCTGCTTCTCATCGTGCCAACATTAAACAGATGGAGTGAAATAAACTGGCACGCTTCTACACGGCTGCATTAAACATCGCCGGCCATGTTTCTGAGGACCACAGAAAATCGGTGCCCTTCTTTTCGCTCCCGTTCGGCTCTCTGTAAATCCTGTTAAAGTCACCTTGGCTGTTAAACAGGCTGTCTTTAGCGCATGCAGAACAGCACGGCCTCATGGGAGTCGTAGCGGCAGACGAGAGTAAATCTCAGCAGAATGGCGACAGTGTTCGGCTGACGGAGGGGAGAGAGCTCTCTCTGTGCTGCGCTCTCGTGGGACTCTGCCATTAAGCAGCTATAATTGTGTCCCCGAGAAAGGCTCAAACGAAGAAGAGCTAATGATCTGTTTTTGTCTGTTGATTTCTCAAACTGACTCCTCTCGCTGTCTGTCTGTCCAGAACGAGGTGACTCTTCTGCGTAATGAGGTGGCTCAGCTCAAGCAGCTCTTACTGGCTCATAAGGACTGTCCTGTGACGCTCCTGCAGAAGAAGTCCGGATACCAGCGTGAGTAAGACTTCACTGCACATTTCACATTACCACACACATTCGAAATGTCCAGAGCCTTTAGTTGCATGCCAGAAGATACTCTTCACACTATTCAATTCGTGTTTAGTTCTATAGCGCTTTTACAGTGGAGATCGTGTCAAAGCAGCTTAGCACAGAAGTTCTAGTAGATTGAAACTGTGTCAGTCCAGTTTTCATAGTTGAAGTTCAGTTCAGTGTGGTTTTTATTTTCACTGCTGAAAGTCCAAACACTGAAGAGCAAATCCATCGATACGCAGCTCCACAAGTCCCAAACCAGAGATGACAGTGGGAAGGAACAAAACTTCACCAATTGACAAAAGTGAAGGATAAGAACCTCAAGAGAAGCCAGGCTCAGTTGGGCACGACCATTTCTCCTCTAGCCAAACTTCTTGTGCAGAGCTGCAGTCTAGACACTTATACCACATCTACCAATTATAAGGGTAGCGTTGACAGTGGTTCTTAAACTAGGATGAGACTGATTTGCATCTATCTGAACAATCCTTCAATGAATAGACCCAGAGAATCAGTTAAAACAAACAAACCCGTAATGTCCACAGGCTTTAGGTGCATGCTAAAAGACACACTTTACACTGTGCTTTTTTACCTAGTGATGAGAAGTTTGAATCATTTTACTGACTCAGATCTTTGAGTCTCGTTCATCGTTCAAATCTTTTTTTTTTAGTCATTTTGTTCATTTGGTTCGATTTGCCAAAATATTATTAAAATGTTACGAATTGCTTTCAAACACGTCTACAACTAGCCCAAAAGGTTAATCACACGACAAATAAGTCATAAATACAAAACTATAAGAAGGAGAAAATAATAATTCAATGTTTACCTGCTCTTTTGTCTATGAAGGTATTGTTGTCTCTTTGCTCAGCTCACCTCTTCATGTCTTCAAATGTCAGTGGTTCATTTACGTTACTCTGCCAGTCATATGTAATCTTAACTGAAGTACACAGTCTGAGCCGAAAGGAGCAATGATTAGTTCACCTTTCAAGTCTTCTGGTTCTTGAGTTGTTCATTCATCACGTGACAGAATGACTCAAACCCGAGGACTCGAGAGATGAACGGATCAATTCTTTTTCCGGCTCTAAAGGCATATGATTGGCCCGTGAGGAACGAATGACTCAAACCAGATAGAGGACTCGAGAGTTGAATGGACCAATTCTTTTTACGGCTCTAATCGCAAATGATTGGCTTCTGCGATTCGTTCAAGAAGGACCCATCACTACTTTTACCAGATCCACCAATGATAAGGGTACTGTTGGGAATAAAATTGATGCCTAATCAGGGTGACCCAAACTGTACTGTACCAAAGTTCCTTTAAGACAAGTAATTTCACTCCATAGCCATATTTGAAACACCTCTCGGGCATTTTTTTCTGAATGGTGAAGCATCAAATTCTTTAAAACTGTTTGCCAAACTTACAATTACATTACATGTTTGAAATCACCAATAAAATTAAACAGCAACAACTGTCTCATAAGTTTAGTTTCTAAATGTCCGAATCAAACAAAATCAACATATTTTCAGGTTGCCTGTGCTAATGCGCATAGGGCGGTCGAAAGAAAAGAGATCACGACACCAACCTCATTTATGGCCGTGTTACAATCAAATCTGACTTAACTCATCAGCTAGCACTAATAATAGAGACCTGAAATGTGTGGGTCCAGAATGTCTACTGTAACTCTTGATGTCGGTCTGTAGACAGGTTTGGAAATTTCTGTCCTAGGTGGTTTAATATTGATTCTCAAAAAAGCTAACCTTGTTCTTTAGATTTTGTTCATGAGATCACAAACTCAGTTGATGAGGAGACATTAAAGTTTGCTCAGGTTTCAAGTCTAAATGACGTTCATTAAAGCTGGGAAGCTCAGAACCAATACACCTCCCTGGAAGATTCTAGTGCACAGGTGTCAAAATCCAGTTTCTGGAGGGCTGCAGCTCTGCACAGTTTAGTTCCAACTCTGCTTCAACACACTTACCTGTAGGTTTTAAACATAACTGAAGGAGTTAGTTTGATCAGGTTTGTTTAATTAGGGTTGGAACTAAACTGTGCAGAGCTGTGGCCCTCCAGGAACTGGATTTGACACCTGTGTTCTAGTGAGTCAGAAGATCTTGTTTGTTTCTCAGTATGCGTTCTTCAGCGACCTTGTGTCCTCATGTTCTCATGTAACCTAATCATCAACTGCCAAAGTTCACTTCCAAATCTCAAGACCGCAAGAACCAGGGTGACTCGGACTGTGCCGGAACCGGATTCGGCACCTTTGAAATCTGATTCGCCACCTTATTTTACCTATTCCCCTCCTCAACCGCCCATCTCCCCCGTCCGCTTTTCACTTTCTTCCGTGACTCCCCAACCCTCTTCACTTTTGTTCGCGACACCCCCACCCCCCTCACTTTCGTTCACGACATCTCTCCGCCATCTACCGCAACAACCCCACTCACCCCCGCTCTCCACTTTTTTTCGCGACACCTCCCCATCCTCGGGTAACATGCCGGACCCGTTACCCCGATCTGTTCCGGGACCTTGCAATTCACAAATTAAGCTCTGGCAAGAACGGTAGACGGGTGAAAGTTCCCGGATTTGATCTTGGTATCGAGGACGCATCGATGCAGACTTAAGCCCTGAACTTGCTCTAGTAGTCCCAGAAGTCATTGCGATTGTAGGTGGGAAGTGCATCATTTTATTTAGATTTATTATTTAGGTTTAGAGATAACGTATTTACCTCAAGCGTTTCCCTGAATGAAATGGTGAAAGTAAACATCACCATAAATCTCGTAATAAAGGCACAAACACATTAAGGTTTGTTTGCTGATATTCCTATTAAAATCTGTTTTATTTTTATTGTGCAACATATATTTGTAAAGTCTTTATGCATAGCATATATTTTGAAAAGGACCAAATAAATAAATCATATGAATGCTGTAATGTTGAAATAATTTTCCATGAAGGTCATGTGACCATCAGGAAGAACGCACCATCTCATTTCTCCCGAGTTTGTTCTACCGAGGTGACCTGGCAAGACTGGTCTCCACAAGAATGCAAGTCCGTTCTCTGCGTTCTTGGAGTTGAGAAACAGCCCTTGTTGTACTCCGGTTTAGGAGTGTTTAATTGAAGTCTGAAGGTCAGTGGTCATCGAGAAACAGGTTTGGACAGCTCTGTAATAAAACATAAGATCTAATCTCACTGACTGCATATTCATTTTGCAAATGAGCTAAAATCTTTGGACTGCCAACTGCGCTTAATGGCTTTTAAAGTTAATGGGATGTTCTTTGTTGTTTGGTTCTGCATATTTTATTGTTGTTGACTATAACAGATGAGTGTTACACCTAATGAGTGTTCTGTGGGTGTTTGAGGAAATGTGAAGAGTGGAAAATGAACCAGTCCTGAGTGTGAAATAACACAGATTCATCTCATGCCATGATTACAGCAGAACGCCAAGGACTCACACAAAAGCACTGTTCGCTAACAAAATGATCCCCGCTGTATGTGGCGCTGTCCTCTTTAAGATGAGTGATAAAGAGGCATTTGGAAAGCGAGGGCTGCTTTTGTTACACGTGCGTCTTTGGCCGTTATGCTTTAATGACACCTTGTGAAATGTGCAGATCTGCGACTCGTCCGCCATATGCAGCCACTTCATATCAATTAGCTGTTGTCACCGGGACGGAGAAAGCGGTTTGTGGGAGCGATTGCATGCGCTCGTCTGCCACAGGCTTCAGCAGACACTAAAACTTAACGGCTGCCTACATCGCTCCGCTGGTGTGTAAGCACTTTTTTGAACATAACTTTCAGCGCTTCCATTTCACATCTTGACCAATGCATCGTCGGCTTTGTGTGTGCGTGTCTGCGTTCGGCTCATTTTGTAACCCAGCGCTGACTTGTATTGACAATGATTGCCTCCGAAATGAGTGTATTATAGCGGAGAGCCTGACAGAAGCGCAGTTTCACAACCGGGATGCGCCGCTGCAGCCGTGCAGTTCATTACGCGCCGGCATTGTTAAGCAGCTTGACTGACAGGTCTCATGCATATTATGAGCCGGATGGTTGGCGGTTGAGATTGGGTTGTCAGAGAGCGGGTTCATTTGCAGGCGTCTGGTCGGTCGTTGCGGGGTAGGGGAGAGTATGGAGATGATCGAAACCATTCTTCAATCCTGTTTACGCTGCCGATGTCACCGGATGCCGTGAGAGGTCATATATTAGTCACCTGTGCAAATGAGGCTCGGAGAAGAGCATCATTCCATCTCTGCCGGATTTGTAAACAACGCCAGTTTGTGCCACATTCATCCCATGGCGGAGAAGCAGCAGATGGTCATCACCTGTCAAAATAAGGTCTTAATAGTGTGAAAAAGTGCAGACGTCAGTTGAGGTTTCGTGTGATGCCATTCGGCCACCTGAACGCTCCCGTCTTCTGCTTTCCATTACAGTCAGTTACGTCCGAAATACATACAAATCGCATTGTGCTTGGGTTGAGCAGGTGTAAAGCAGGCGGACGAGATCCCGCTTGGCAAAGCATTTTCATTTGTGATTGCGTACTTAAGTGAAGTATGTTTCTGGCCTTGATCTCTCAGCGCTGCCCTGGTAGCAGGTGGGGGGAAATTACCCAGGCTGCCCTGCAAACAGGGCAGGCCATGCCTCCGTTTGGCATTGCATAAGCCCCATCTGCTCGCAGCGGAGAAGATACGAGAGGAGGTGAGCGGAGAGAGGTCTCAAGAGCACGCAACGCTGTGTATGATAATATATCACCCCCTTTCCTGCTCAATACCATTAGGAGTAATTACAGATGCCAGAACGCAGAGCTGGAGAGAGAGAAATACCCAACTCTTGATTTCTGAATTCAACCTTACCTGCACAGGGCCGAGGGTATTTACAGCCCAACGGCATACACGTGTAGTCGAATTCAGATGCTCCACTTCGAATCTGAACCACGCACACAATCAAATACCCCTGCATTAATTACCAAGTGCCATTTCAGTAG